GGCACTTAACAACAACAACAACATATAAAGGGCAGCTGTGCTGGGGATATAATTCTTGGTTGGCAGTCTTTCTCTTTCAGAGGTTTTATATGGTATCCCATTGTCTTCATGCCTGCATGGTTTCTGCTATGAAATCAGCACTTCATCTTACTGGTTCTCCTTTGTAGGTAACTTTTCATTTTTTCTGAGCTTCTCTCAGAATTCTTTCCTTGTCTTTGGTTTTGCAGAGTTTGATTAAGCTATGTCTTGGTGACTTTCTTATGGGATCTGTCCTGTTTGGGATTCCTTCACCTTCTTGTATGTTTATCTTCTGATCTTTCATGATGTTAGTGAACTTTTTTTCCAATAATTCATCGATAATTTTCTCTGTGTTTTTTATTGTCTTTTCCTGTTCTGAAATTTCAATGACCTGTAAGCTGTTTCTCTTGATGGTGTCTCACATAACTCTTAGGACTTCTTCATATTTTTTTCATTCTTGTATTCTGATTGTTCTTCTAGCATACTAATATTGAGAGATTTATCTTCAAGCTCACTAATTCGGGCTTCATTGCTTCGAATCTATTCTTTTGTCCTTTCAATGTTTTCTCAGTTTCTGAGATCTTAGTATTAATCTTCTGGATTTCTAAATGCACTTCTTTTGTTTGTCTGTTTCAAAATTTGTATTTATTTTGTCCGTTTGGTGTTTTCTTGAATTCTTCTAAAATGTTTTCTGTGTGCTCCTTGTTTTCCTGCAAATTCCTCTCAATCCTTTGAAGGTCCCTAAATATCATTCTTTCAAAGTCTTTTTCAGCCAGTTCCTTCCTCAGAAACATTTTGTTTTGATTTTCATCTGCACCTTGGCCATTTGATTGCATCTGTCTTTCTTGTTTCTTCGGGTAAGCTAAAATTGTCTGTTGTCTTTGGGGCATTGTGGGTTAGGGTTAGGGTTAAGGGTTGTCGTACTTGTATATAAATGATGATTATTTATTGGTGTTTTCTTGGGCTCTCACCAACTGTCTCCTGTGGATGTAGTTAGAGAATGGAAGTGTGTACACTTTGCTCATTTGCGGTTCGTGCACCTCAGTTTAGGATGGGTTTTGGTGATATTGGCTGCTGTCTCCCATGGGTCAGATGGTATGGGGACTGGTGTTAGCTCTGGCCCAGTGGGGGGAGAAGCAGAGGGCCGTATGGGCACGGTTGCTATTTCCCTTCCTGTCACTTGTATGAATCCACTCTGCCTGGACAGCTTCTGTTGCCAAAAGTGCTCACGATGTGGTCGTGCACATCCGGCCAGCTCTTTACTAGCCGGTCTCCTTCTTATCATCTCTGCACAACTTCTCCTCCCAGCAAGCACTGTCTACTTCTCTAACCTTTCTTGTGAAGTTCAGAGTCCCAGAATTTCCATCTGTGTCTGTTTCCTTTTGTCTCTCATACCTTTGTTGTAGAGGGTCCGAAAGCAGTGCATCTGTATACTCTGCCACCTTGCTGTAAGTTCTCACCTGTCTTCCTCTTTAGTCATGGTTATAGGAACTGTTCCGCCAGCTTGCTTCAAAGAGGGTGTGCAGAATCGAGCTCCCATAAGAGATTAATATGCTATTTGCACAATGTCCAAGTCAACATTACAGCCTATACAGAATGTATTGTGAACTTCAAGTGATGCATAGTGTAGGGTCTGTCTGAAGCTAAACACCTTTGAGATCTAAAAGCAAATGATATAAAAGAAGAAAGCAAACACATTCGGGGAAAGAAAGATTCCAGATAAAAATCAATAAGGATCCAAGGAACTGAAGGTCTGAAGAGACCAGGATCTTCCCCCAGAACCGACACAGAATGAGAGAACCTTCTCTTAGATCCAGTCCCCTGAATTAGGACTTCTCATCTCTGGAAACATGAGAGAATTAACTTTGGTTTCTGGTCTTTCTGCTATAGCAGTACTGGATAGCTCAGAAGAGGACCAACAACTTCGAGTCAGGAATGATGCAAGAAAGGTGTGTGTTCTCAGTAAGGCAACTGCTGGGAGCTCACTGGTTGTGGCCAGGAGCCTAATGCCAAGCGAGCTTACCTGGTCATAAGAGGATGTTGCAGAGAAAGGTGAAAATACTTACCAACTTCTGGGAGCGGCCCTAGGAAGAAAGAGAACAAGGGAGACCCGGTGAGTACCTTGTGTTTTCAGCAGGACACTTGAGTGTCTGTTCTTCTGGGAACATTCCTCAGTCCCCTCAGATGGACAAAGCGGCTTTGGGGTTATTGATGAGTGATTGCAAACCAACGAATTCCCAAATGTGTAGGAAGGAAGATGCCTGAAAAATTGACACCCAGCCAATCTCCATCATGTGTCTATTGGGAGCACGTACGAGTCACGTGGACACGGGGACTCTGCTAGCTGTATTGGGAATTGGTTGTGGAGGACAATAGAGGTGTTCCCGGGGTTGGCCTGTGTCCTGGACAGTCGGGATCCATACCCTGGTAGCGCGTGGGTAGAGCTGGGGGCGGGGGCAACAATTAAACACACCTGTCCTTTAGCGTTACGCCCCTCACTATGAAGAGACCAATGGAAGTGGTCAACAGCCCAAATGGAGATGTGGCGGGTGGAAGGGAGACATCAGGAAACTAGTAGGTGAGGCAGAATTAAGGTGACTTAGTGGAAGAGCTGTCTGAGGTCACCTACGTGACTCACCTGTGTGAGGATCCTGTGTGAGGTCGCATGTTTGAAGGCCCCTGCGTGAGATCACATGTGTGAGATTCCCTGTGTGAGGGCACCTGTGTGTGAGGTCACCTTTGCTGTGTGATCCCCTGAGTGAGACGCTTGTGTGAGGTTACCTGTGAAAAGTCACCTGAGACACTTGTGTGAGAGCACCTGTGTAAGTTCATCTGTGTGAGGTCACCTGTGCAGTCACCTGAGACACCTGTGTGAGCTCACCTGTGTGAAAACACCTGTGTAAGTTCACCTGTGTGAGGTCACCTGTGTGAGGACACCTGAGACACTTGTGTGAGGTCACCTGTGTGAGGACACCTGTGTGAGCTCACCTGTGTGGTCACCTGAGACACCTGTGTGAGAGCACCTGTATGAGGACACCTGTGTGAGAACACCTGTGTGAGGTCACCTGTGCAAAGTCACCTGAGACACCTCTATGAGGACACCTGTGAGAACACCTGTGTGAAAGTCATATTTGTGTGGTCACCTGTGCAAAGTCACTTGAGACAGCTGTGTGAAGACATGGTCACCTGTGTGAGATCACCTGTGCAAACTCACCTAAGACACCTGTGAGAACACCTGTGTAAGGTCACCTGTGTGAGGACACCTGTGTAAGCTCACCTGTGCAAAGTCACCTGAGACATCTATATGAGGACACCTGTGTGAGGTCACCTGTGCAGTCACCTGAGACACCTGTGTGAGATCATCTGTGTGAGGACACCTGAGACACCTTTGTGAGGTCACCTATGTGAGGCCACCTTAGATACCTGTGTGAGCTCACCTGTGCAAAGTCACCTGAGACACCTGTATGATGACCCCTGTGTGAGGACACCTGTGTGAGCTGGAGAGGTGGCCACCCAGTGGATAGGGTCACATGATGCAGGTATCATTCTAAAGGTAGACGGTAGACACAGAGGGCCATGGAATGCAATTGTTGTTAAGTACTGTGGAGTCGGTTCCGACTCATAGTGACCCTGCATAGGGTTTCCAAGGCTGTAAATCTGTACACGAGCAGAACGCCTCATCTTTCTTCCACGGAACTGCTGGTAGTTTCGAACTGCTGACCTTGTGGTTGGCAGCCTGACTGGTAAACATTACGCTACCAGAGCTCCTTATGGAATGCAATTGAGAATCCATAAATATCATGTTTGGTAAGGTGGAGGGTCAAAGAAAAAGAGGAAGACCCCCAGCGAGATGGATTAGCAATGTAGCAACAATTGTGAGGTTGGGCCAGGATTGAGCAGTGTTTCATTCTGTTATGCATAAGGTCGCTATGAGTTGGTACTGACTCGATGGCACCTAACAACAACAAGAAGAAAATAAACCCATGTATCAACGCTCAATTATTTTCTGAGAAGGGTACCAACTCAATTCAATGGATAAAGAATTGTCTTTTCAACAAATGATGCTGGAACCATTTGAAAGAACGAACCTGGTCCCTCTACATTACAGAAATTAAGTTTCAATGGACCACGAATACCTAAATATAAGAAGGAGGATAGACAAATGTTCTGGAACAGACAAGGAACCAGATTCTTGCTGATAAGGATTAGACCCCCCAAAGAAAGACAGGAGGGAACCTGTATTATAGGGTTCTGACAAAGGCGTGGGGTCCTTACGTTTTTTTGAATGTCAAGCTGGTACTCTAAGACATGATTTGCAGCCTCACTTCTCGTCTTGGGGTTCTCCCACTCGATAAAATAATCAGATCCATTGTAGTGACTTGTGATGTTTCCTGGTGGGTTGTACTTTTCTAGAATACAAACATGAAAATGCAATCACTTGCCAATCTACAAGGTGGAGGAGCGAGTTAAACGAAAAATGTAAAGAATACATCTTGGGGGTCATTTCCAGATGACTGAGAGCTGTCCATGGTGGCTGGAGGAGCGAGTTAAATGGCAAATGTAAAGAATACATCTTGGGGTTCATTTTCAGCTGACCGAGAGCTGTCCATGGAGGCTAATTATTCTGAAGCAGATCTCCAGGACTTTCTTCCTAGGTGCCTCAGAGTGGACTTGAACTCCTAACCTTACAATTACTGCCAAGTGCACTACGCAGGGACCCCTAATATAGACTATAAACCAAACGAAACCAGTTGCCTTTGCATCAACGCCAACTCAAGATGACCCCATATGGATCTGAGTCCAAGTGTGTGCTCCATATAGGGTTATTAATGACTAAGCGTTCTAAAACCAACAGCAGGAGTTTCTTGTGAGGTGTCTCTGGGCAGACGCGAACTTCCAACTGTTTGGTAAGTAGTCAAGTGATTGAACTATGTATGTCTCCTTTTCTTACCTATGTTACTGAGTGCAAAAGGAAAGAACTCTCGGAACGGGATAGACATCTCCTCGCTGGTCCCATTCAGTAGGAAGAAGAACTGTGTGCCACGCAGCTCAGACAGTTGCTCAAAATGACAGCCCACGTTTATGCCGGCCTGGTCATAGATGTAGTGGGGACATTCGGTAATGTCGTCCCCATCTTCCAACCTGGAACATGCAAACTCAGTGAACGGTCAGGAGGGACCTCAACCCGGACCCACTCGGAGACCCTTTGCTTACCTGGTCCAGACATTGAGGTGGTATTTAACATTGGCGGGCGCTGCCGGGCCAGGCAGCCAGCTACAGTTCATGAAGTTAATGTTGTAGATGACACACGAGAGATTTCTGGCGCTTGTATTTGCATTGCCTGGGGAGACAGGACCCCCAAATTGTCACGATGAACATCATCACGTCCAGTAAACGTGGAATTCTACACCATCACTCCCAATAAACGTGCTTTCCACCCATTTGTTTATGTTTCCAAAACAGGAAACCCCAGAGCGAAGCTAGCCATGGCTGTGGACTTCATTCTGACTCCCAGCGACCCTATTGTTGTTACGTGCCGTGGAGTCGATTCCGACTCATAGCGACCCTGTACAGGGTTTCCGAGGCTGTAAATCTTTACGGGAGCAGAAAGCCTAATCTTTCTCCCGCGGAGCAGCTGGTAGTTTCGAACTGCTGACCTTGAGGTTCGCAGCCCGATTCGTAACCACTATGCTACCAGCGACCCTATAGGACCGAATTAAACTGATCTTTAGGGTTTCAGAGGCTGCAAATCTCTATGGGAGCAGGCGGCCTCATCTTTCTCCCTCAGAGAGACTGGTGGATTTGAACATCCAATCGTTTGGTTAGAAGCCCAATGTGTATCCCACAAGAGTTCCTAAATCTATATATACCACGGCACTGTTAAAAGCTACTAAAGCCAATAACAGAAATTATTGAGTTTGTTTAAGAGAACTGAACTCAAGCCACAGGTCTCAAATTGAGACCCACTCAGAATAACTCCACAGCACGGACTAGAACTGGTGCACACGGTCTCCAAGACAGTCTTTACAAAAGCAGAGTCCCACATCTTTCCCTCTCGGTGTGACTGGTAGCTTCAAATCCCCAAACTTTCGGTTAGCAGCGAGTGTTTCACCAAAGCACCACAGGGCTCTACATTTCAACCAGGAATTAAAAAAACAACCCAAAACCCCAATACCCCATTTTACCAACGTTGCAGTGACAACTGAACCAGAACTTAAAAAACACAGTTTCTAGTGTGACCTTGCATTCTCTGTTTCTCTACACTTTCTGCACATGAATTTTTCAATAGACCCAAAACCCAAGGGGAAAGTTTTTTACAATTCAAGAACAAACCGTTAGCTGTTAACCGAAAGGTCGGAGAAAGGTTTGAACCCACCAGATGAGACAGTCTGCTTCCATAAAGATTTAAAACTTTGTAGACTCTATGGAAACGTTCTGCTCTGATGTATAGGGTGACCAGGAGATGGGATCAACTCAACAGCTTTAGGCTTCATTTTAATATGAATACTTCACTCACTAGCCACCCTTTAGCTTTCTTTGAAGTCCTTAGCCTGGGAATTGGCGTTCAGACAGCCTGGTTTTCCTCTCTAATATCTTCTTATTCTGCTACTATCATCTTTTTGAAGAAACTCATTCTTGCTGTGTTTGAGCTTGGGCTTCAAACCAATTAAAAAATGGTTCAGTGTGTGCTTTCAGCTACTGGTGTTGAGACTTGGTCTCATGTACTTTGGACATCTTATTAGGGAGGACCCGTCCCTGAAGAAGGACATCGTGCTTGGTAAAGTGGAGGGAGGGTCATTGAAAAAGAGGAAGACCTCCAATGAGATGGATGAATTGGCACAGTGGCCACAGAAATGGGCTCAAATGTAACAGTGATTGTGAGGATGGAGCAGAACCAGATGTGCTTTATTCTGCTACACATACGTTGCATAGCAACCGAGTCTGTCCTTGATGGCGTTTAAACTCTGGGCGGAAACACACACAGCTGTGCCCTACTTAAAGATGGCAGCCAAGCAAGCATCTTGGATCATGTGTTTCTCTCAAGAGCCCTGTCGCTAAGTTTGCTCTCTCAAAGTCCTGCGACGGCTGTTCCTCCTGATAGTTTGACATGTCCGTGGCACCAGATTGTGTTACTGGCAGGTCTCTGGAGAGTTACACACACACACACACACACACACACACGCGCACACACTCAGAGCTTTCTGGTTGGCTGCCATCTTTGAATGGGGCATAGCCATTTGCTTCCTAAACCCCAACCCACCTCCTCTGTCTGGATTATGACTCACAGGGAGTTTGTATAGCATTTCTGAAGTTTAAAAGCTTTATAGGACCAGACAGTTCAACTTGCCCCCACCCCCCAGGGACAATAATCCTACTTTTGGTCAACAGATCACAGGCTATGGAATTGGAAGATATGCAATGGATACTCATCCAATACTACTGTAATCACTGAGCTATTTTGAACTGATTTGAAGCCCTGATGTGATCAACATCTGCTGTTAAGTTTTCTTTGACATCCCACCACACCTTGATGGGATTGTTAAAGTTAACCCACTGTGTTGATATCGATTCTTCCTGCCCCACGTATGTCAGAGTAGAACTGAGTTCCATAGGGTTTTCATTGGATGATGTTTCATAAGTCGATCCCACTCATGGTGCCCTGTGTGTGTCAGAGTAGAACTGTGTCCCACAGGGTTCTCAGTGGATGATTTTTCATAAGTAGATCCCACTCATGGTGCCCCCGTGTGTGTCAGAGTAGAACTGTGC